CGGGGCCGCCCCCCCGCCTCGCCGCCACCCCCCGGCCCGCCGCTTACCCAGTTCTTGGACTTGAAGTACCGCACGCACTGGGACCCCAGCGCCCCTCTGCCCCCGTACACCAGCACCCTGCCCGCCGCGGCCATGCTCGCTGCCCGCCCGCCCGGCTCTGGATCGAGCTCCGCTCTGGCCGCCCGGCCGGCCCCGCCTGCGCATGCGGGGGGCGGGCGAGGGGCGGTGGCGCCCGGCCTAGGGGGCCGTGCCGGAGGAGGGGGAGCCCCGGTACCTCGGCCCAGCCCCAACCTGCCCCCCGAAGGCTCAGGGGGTGCCGCAGGGGCAGTTTTACCTCAGGAAATCCCCCACCCGTGGGCTCCCCGCGCCTGGTTCGGACCGAAAGCCGGTCACCACCCCCACACACACACACGATCTCCGGTGGCGGACTGTGTTACCTGGGTCGCCGGGGATACTGCCAGGATTAATTAATTAGTGGTTATAAAGGTGCCTGCAGGTTTTGGGTAGCAGTAACCGTAGAAGCGCAGGCAATTACGGCCGGTTTCCTGTAGCGCTCCCGGGTCGCACCTGTAGCCTCAATGGCGCCGCTCGCTGCGGTCCGTGGGGCTGGCCCCGGGCGGTGAGGGGCAGCCTTCTTCAATGGCGCCGCTCGCTGCGGTCCGCGCGGCTGGCCCCGGGCGGTGAGGGGCAGCCTTCACCCCGGTGTAAATGCGGGAGATTCGTACGAGACATAATGGCGTCCTGAAAAAGGGGTTCTGTGCCTCAGTGAACAGCCTTGGAGAGGAAGGGGGCAGCGGCCGAGGCGGGCGGCCCCGCGGCTTCGGCGGTGACACCAGCGAGAGGCCGGGCGGGCGCGGGCGCCCGGAGGAAGCAGCCGAGGCGCCTGCAGAATCCAAATTATTGTGTTTTTTAATGCTTTGTCCCTTCCACGCGGCTGTTTATCCCCCTTTTTAGTTATCTAAAAAACCGGATTCTGCGCCTCGCTTTCTTCCCGCGAGGTGACGGTGAAGAACTTGATGTCATTTGAGCAGGACAATTAAAGCTCCGCCGAAACATTAGCCAGGCAGCAGCTATAGGATTACTTTCTGCAGAAAGGAGCATCGCTGTGTTACAGCGCGATGAGGCTGTTACTCACAACCGTTTCAGGATGTTGTCGCAGCAAAACACGGTTTTGGGGCTTGGTTTTTAAGCGTAGAGATTAATTTCTGCAGCTTCAAAATACAGTGAGATGTGTTGTGAAACGCCTGCTGTTTGTTTGTGGATTTCGGAGCATGAGGAAAACAAGGAAACGTGCCTGAGTGCTGCCGAGAGGCCTTGGAGATGATTCCCTGAAACCAGGAGGATGCCTGGCTGTTTTAAAAAGACATTGTTTGCCTTGGCTGCTCTAGTGAGTTTTGTGTCGTTTCTCTTGATCGTTGTTGCGATGGGGACCCCGAAGTGGGTGACTGGAAAGATCCTTTGCAAAACAGGAGCTGATTTGGTCAACGCCACGGATCCGGAGCTGGTCAAGTTCATTGGAGACATTTACTACGGACTCTTTCGGGGCGGGAAAATACGGCAGTGTGGGTTGGGCGGGCGGCGTTCCAAATTCACAAGTAAGTACAATTTTGGTTGAATCTTTAGTCTAATGTCTAGTTCGGCTTTAAATGCACTCTATTCTTTTTGTTTACAGAACCTAGAGAATGCAAATCGTTATTACTTAATTTATATTTGTGGCTGACTTGTGGTCTTTATGGTTTGGGATGTGAATGTGAATGTAAAAGCTCTCCCATTTCAGGCTAGCTTTTTTCTTCCAGTTATATTCTGCAGTCATGGAATCAAAATGGGAAGAAAAAAAGAAATGCCTAGGGCAAGATAGACTGTTTCCTTTTAGTCTCGTGAAAGTAGTGAGAGTTATTTGGAGATGACTCTGTAAATCATACTTTCCCCTTGACTGACTCTTTCCTCTGCCAAGTGTTGCTCCGCAATCTCTCTGTGCCTCTGTCCTTCTCAGTTGAATGCCTCTCCATTTGTTTGTATCCTTTAAGAAACAGAGATGTATTTAGCTGCTCACATTTCTGTATTTCTCTAGCTGTCCCAATGCAGATGGCTGCCACAGCAGATACTCTTAACTTTATTAACATGTTGAAGAAACTTTTACCTCTTTTTCTGGTAACTTCGGAGAAAAAAAATTGCCAAACTCTTAAAAAATGTAGAAACTCTCATAACTGTATTTAATTCAACTTAAAGGATTTTCTTTAGGTCGTTTCTCCGTCGTTTCTCCCTCAATCTTAATCTTCTTCATCTGTCCTTTGGCTTACTTTTCATGCTGGCAAAACATTCTAACTGCTTAATTGATCATTAACACTAATGATCTTCCCGCTCCCACCTGTTTGTCAGACAATGTCTATATTTATTGCATCCTTGTCTTAGGCCACCATGTTCTCAAGGCCACATACATCCTTTCTTACCTTATGAAGTCCTTGAAACGATTTAGGATGGTTAGTAAAATAGCTACATTTCTTCTCTAAAAGAACATTCCCTACTATTTAACCATTTACAGAATACTAAAGTCTGCTTTAAGGTATAAGATTGGTCTTTGGGACTTGGCTGAGAGCCTCAGAAAAGAGGCAAGAGAGTCCTTCCAACCACCCTAAAAACTCTGCTGGTTTGTATGAAACCTATTTCTGTGTGCCTTGTTGTTACACTGCTGCTTATTTTAAGACTAGAGTAGACTACTTCAAGTTGGAAAGGATCTGCAATCTACCTAGAACCCTCTCCGAGGCATCTTGTCCTTCAGGAGAGACAAAGGTACCTCCCAGTTTGGCATTGTCAGCAAACTTGCTAATGGTGCATTCAACTCCTGCATCCAGATCATTGAAAAATGTATTAAACAGAACCGGCCCTAGAATTGAACCCTGAGGAAACACCACTGGTGTCTAGTCACCAGCCAGATATAACCCCACTCACTACAGCCCTTTGAGCCCTGCCATTTAGCCAGTTAAGAAAGCAACCTAGTTTCGGGCTTCCCTTTTCTCATATATACTTCTGACTCTTATTTACTTCCCTCCTTTCTTCCTGTTTTTGGAGTCTCTTCTGTAGCTCCCATCCGTACCAGACCCAGCTACAACCCTGGAATGACCTACTGAAAGGGCAGAATTATTGAATCATAAATTTTTGTATGGAATTTGTACAGTATAAAGTTTTCTATATAATTTACTAGAATTCTGTCATGTCACGATGACCAAAGTGTATGCCTGATACTCACTGTGACATCTACCAGTTATTGCTGCCTACTTTTTATGTGGCTTGTTTGGGGTTTTTTTTCAGTTATGCAGCATAGGAAGCCATCCATTTATTTGTTTATAGTGTAACATACCTTCTTTTTAGTAACTCCTTAGTAATTAGGCAGTTAGTTTTTACATGTATGAGTGTGCAGTGCTACGCTACCTGAAGGGCTCTTCTTGATCAGCTTGTATTTTAGGGTTCTTCTTGATCAGCTTCTCTCTGTGCTGCCAGTCAGCGTGTCACCTACAGTTCCTACTCGTATTTCCTCTGATTCTGTTATCAAAGGGCTGCGGAATAAACTGATTACTCGGGTGCTCCACACTTCCCTGCTGCTGGCCAGTTGGTCCTTCAATGAAGTAACTCTCTCTGTGAAGACAAAACCAAGATAGTTACCGATCTTTAGAGGCAGGCAACTTACAGGCTGCTGAGGAAGAGCTCACACCTTTAGGAAAATATGTGAGAGCTTCATCTAAAGCCCACCCAACTGCAATACTTGACAAGCTTCCTAAAGATGTAACTGAAACCTTGACAGATAACCCAGAAGAGCATTAAAGAGCATCTCAACTAATGAGAAACCAAGAATGGAATCTGAAAGTGGAAACCTGTGGGATTAGGCAGTGGGAAATCAGAGTAGATCTCACTGGAGCCAGTAGTAAAGAGAGGAAGAGAAAGAAAGAAGAAGAACATGAGAAAATAAACACAGAAAGGAGTGATACTATTTTAGACAGCAAGGGGCTGCACAAGGAAACTGGGGCTATCAGACTTCAAAGGGATGAGATTAAGAGCATGGGACAGGAATTGGAAGCTCAAAAAGCAGAGTTTGGGATGGAGAGCAGTGGTGAAAAAGAGAGAGAAAAGAGTGCAGCAGATGATAAAGCAGCAGAGATAAAGACATTAACACAACTAGATAAATAAAACAGGATTTAAGCCTGAATCTTTATTCCCAGTCCCTGTGTGAAGGATTGTTCCTGCAAACCAATCCCTGGTTTGTCTGATGTAGTGACAAATAAAGCCTCATTAACTAAGATGCGTGTAACTACCTGAATTGATCACCTCTGTAAAAAGTAGTTTTGCTTAAGTATAATGTAAGTTTGTAGCCCCAGCACAGTGTGATGTTTACTGTTGTCAAGGAGAAAATACACACTGAATAGATGATTTTTTTTTTTTTCTTGACAGTTTTCCCACACATGGTGAAAAAGCTGAACACAGGTCTGCATGTGATGATTATAATGTTCCTCTGTGTGGCCATTTTCTTTTCTCTGGTCAGTTTTGGATTCTGCATTCTTAACACAATAAAAGTTCCTTACCGGGCTATTAAAGGTCCAGCAGGAGTATGCCTTTGGAACTTCCTTGCAGGTAAAATTATTTACCACTATTTTTCACTAATCACATTCATACAAAACATTAGAAGTTCCTTCTTTTGCCTGACTACATATCTCATTGACTTAAATACTTGTCAATAAAATGAATTTAGCGGTGAGTTATCATCCATCAAAACAAAACTGTCAGGTGGCATCTCAGCTTATTGTGTCTAGCCTACTTTTTATGGGAGCTGTGATTGCCAGTCTTGAGGCTCCTCATCACCAATAAAAAGACTTTATTACAAATGCTGATACAATGTTTGGCCATACCATAAAGACTAAGCATTTAGAAGGTGTTTAAGCCAGGCCTAAGTCTATCCCTACTCATTATAATGCTCACTGTTGTGTTCAATAAGCCTTTCTGAAGCACAACCAAAAGGTCTGTCGTGTTTTGACAACAACGGTGAATACTTCTTTCATTTTGTTGCAGGTGGATTTGTAGTACTCGCAGTCACCAGCTTCATGGCTGCTGTGAAACTTCATCACCTCACAGAAAGAATTGCCAATTTTCGGGAAATTTTTCTATTTGTTATCTTAGAAGAACGGTTTGAAGACTGTTTTTGGCTTTGTGTGGCAAGTGCCACAACACATGCAGTAAATTTGCTGCTAATAGCCATTAGTGGGATTAATTTCCCTAAAATTAAGACTAAACCAGAAGAAGCAAATGTTACAGCAGAAGATATCATGTACTAATAAATCTACATAAAACTACTTTGGTCAAGTGAATTGTCTTGATGGAAACAGCTTCTTGGCTCTTCAGCTTTTGATTTGGGTGGAAGATTTTGGTACAAATATGAGTAAAGATGTCACTTGTGAAAATCTGCATTATTTTTTAAGGTCAGTCTACAATACCAGCAATTAAAATGTGTGGGAAAGGGGGAAAAACAAATGCTACAAATATCATTATTCTCAAAGCTGCCCGATATCTGCAGTGAACACATGCTGCTCGCGGTTTTTAGAAAATTTGCATTTTGAGATCTTTTAGAAAACTAAGGTAACATACAATTTCACTGAAACCAAGTGTCTTTTTTGTTTAGAAAGAAAATAAGTGTTTCACAAATCTTTGATAATATAGGGTTACTTAAAAGCAGAAAGAATGGACATTTGCCAATCACCTTCACAGAATTATCTGGAAAATGTTGAGAGGGCCGTATGAGATATGTTTGATGATGTTATACTGCATTGAAAAAGAAAATGTCATCATCTGTGAGGCTAAAGTTAAGGGGAAGCACTGGCTAAGTATGAGTGAAATGTTTTTAAAACAGGAATCATCAAACCCATAAAGTGAGAAAAGTAAAGTTTATGGGATAACAGTAGACTATGAAAAAATTATTAGCTGCAAGATGATGGTTTCATTGCAGCTTCTGGAAGTAAACAGAATCTAAGTAATAGTGATTTTAGAAAACCTGGAAAATAATAACCTGACAGATAAATTGTTTTAGAACCGTGTCAATACTTATGCCTACCTGAAATCAAGTAAAAGTGATGTATGATGAAACAGTATTAAAATGAACAAAAATGGTTAATGGATGGAAAAGTTACTGTGTTAGGAAGTACCATAATTTTGACAATTTTGACAGCCAGTTCTTGGGTCAGAGGTAGTGAATATTTCAGAGAAAATAATATGCCATTAAGCATGCCATTTTTAGAATTTGACTACTATAGTGAAAATATAGTAACCTATTAGCAATAGAACCTATACATAACTGAAGAATGTCTTTGAATAAACAAAGTTATCATCAAAATTAATTATTTTGCGGTCAGTTACTCTTCATCAGAGCACGAGGTTGTGTAACTCTATTCCTGTGAAAAGCTCTTTGAAAAGCATAGTAACTTTTTTAGAAAAGGAATTCAAAGTGTTTTAAGAATGTGTCAGGAAATACAAAAATTCCTTAATTTTTAATTGGAAAGACTTCATTACAGAAATAGTACTGTAAGGGTCAAGTCTTTTTGGAAGTGTCTAAAACCATATTTTATGTTGACAAATTACTAGTTTTGTCTCTGAAGTGTGCAGACCACTCAGGAAAGAAAGTTACTAGAATAAGCTGATGTTTAACATGTTTAATAAGGATTTATAACTTGGCTTAAGCATACGAGTTTAATACCTTTGGCCCAAATACTTATTTTCCATGCTCTTTTTACTTTGTTTTCATCTAAAGATCAATGAAAACAGATGTTTTATGGAGTAAATTCTACTTTCCTTTGGTATTCTTCTAAAATCAGTTTTGCTGTTGTAAAACTCTATTCAAAGTACTCTTAATTCACAGAGCGGACTCAAATCACTGTGGTCACTGAACGCTTGAGCAGTGCATGTGCAAGCTCTGTGTGAGGTAAGAAATTAAAGCTATTTACATCATTTTCAGCCCAAGTGCCGCAAGACCAGCAGACATTCGGCAGTCAGTGGCTTAGTTTCAGGGGAAATGTTATTAGCCAAACTCAACCCGCAGTGCATTAGCAGCATTAAGAGTGAAGCAGAAATTTGTGAGGGTGCTTCTGTAACAGGCCCTAATAATCTGTATTCTTCAAGACAGTGATAGCCACTGGTTTTTTTAGGAACACTATTTTTTTTTTCACATTTTGGGGGAGAGGGGCAAACCAAACCCCCAAAAATCTGAACCATTTGACATTAACATCCAGTGTATATTCAGTGCAACTGAAACTCTGGCTTTCCATACCGGTACAATAAATGTCAGCAAACTCCAAAGAGTTCTTTTCCATGCAGTGCTTTTGCTAGAGAAGCGTTAATCTCCTTCTGATGTTACACTGATATCCCAGTATTTTGGTGTGAATTCTCCCGATAAAACGATAACCACAGTCATTCATCTTTATTTTCACTTACCATATTTTATTTTATTTTTAATGTCACTCTGCGACTGTTACTGCTTTTACTTAGAACTTATCAACTGTTCCTAGATAGTTGTGGTGATACTATACAAGTAAACCACATCCTACATGGGAAATAACGTAAATTTGTTGTCTTTGGAATAAAGCTTTGATTATTTTTTCAAGAGCCATTTACATTTTAATCTTCACTGTGCAAACCAAGTGCGGTGTGTGGATACCAGGACCGGTTCTTTAACGTCTGTGACGAGCCCATGAGAGAAGCTGTCCCATCGGATACTTATCGAGAGCGTTCCACAGGAGGGGAAAAACCCCTTGTGAAACACAGTCACCCCCGGTTCCTCGACTCGTGCACAACCCGACGGCCAAGCACCACCCCTGGGCCGGTTGTGAGCCGTTCCTAGGTCCCGCCCCGCGCTCCGCCCCGCCGGCGCCGGTGGATGAGGCCATCTCCGCGCCGCCGGCCGCCCGCTCGCCATGCTGCTGCCGCCGGCCTGGAGGGCGGCTGCCCGCTGCCTCAGCCGGGACCTGCCCCGGGCCTGCGGCTGCTCGGCCCAGGGGCCCTCGCCGCGGGGCTACAGCCGCGGGGCGAGCGGGAAGGTGAGGAGGGGGCCCCTTCGCGGCCGCGTTTGCTCGGGGTGAATCGAGGCGGGAGGGGGTGGCGGCGGCCCCGGGGTGTCCCTCAGGTGTCCCTCCGGTGTCCCTCCATCCGTCCCTCCCTCCCTCCCGCTCGGCAGCTCACGGCCGAGCGTGCCGGACCCCCGGCTCCGGAGCCCCGAGGGCCATCCCGGGGCTTCAGCTCGCAGAGCGGCGGCGCTGGGTGGGACCGGGCCCGGGAGAAGGTCCCTGTCGGGGCAGAGCCGCTTCCCAGCCCCGCACCTGGCTGAGCGGGCAGGCGGGAGCCGCGGGGCTCCCCGGGAGGAAGGAGAGCTGCCTTTGAGGGAAAAGGAGGGGAAAAAAAAGCTCTTTTCTACTTAAAACTACAAATAGAAAGAGTTTCTTAACTCTACACGTTAGGCAAAATGATGATAACTTTAGGTATGCTGTATCTCCTTTCTTTTTCACACTTAATAGTAGTTGTAGTAATTTATCCTGGTTTACCAAACTCTCTCACATTAGAAGCATCCATGAACTGAGATGAATACATACAGCAGTAGCTATGCTTTGAGCAGCTTGCTGCCTTTCAGACAGGCCCCTAAATTTCATGTTGTTTATATTAATGCACATATTTTTTTATTTTTTTTAGGGCCTCGTTCTGGGAATCTACTCAAGTGAAAAGGATGAAGGTGTTGCCCAGTTCACCAGTGCAGGAGATGCTTTCGATAGACTTGTGTCTGGAAAGCTGAGAGAGCTTCTGTCCCTGTAAGTCTGTGATAAACTCATGAAATTGATTAAATTCCCTACAAACACCAAGAAAAATGATGGGTTTTTATCATTAATAGTGTTTGTACCGCTTCTCAGGCTGGTATTTGCTTTTATCAGACCAAGCAGTTTGGAGGGGAGCCCCTCTGGGAGTTCTGGGGAAGCAGATGCAGAACATTGATGGGGGCTGTCCTCTGTGAATGAGCACTGAGCCAAGTGTCCCAGGACAGTGTTGAGGAGCACCATGTGGTTGTGGAGTGAGTGTAGTACCGTGATCACCAACAAAGACTTTTTTAATTGAAAGAATCTTTTTGTGTCCCTAGATGTGGCCCACCTTTGAAGAAAGGCAAAACACGCGTCTTCTATGGTTTGCATCAGGTAGGAACTTTTGACTTTTGGTGTGCATGTTGACATTTGCCTTTATGTCTTATTTTTAGCTGAGTTCACTGCCGTGCTTTTATAAATACTCTGCTCTTTTTTTCCCCCCTCTTGCCCCTCTCAACAAAAGATGTGGTTTTTGCTGAAACCTGCTGTTGTGCACTCCCTGTGTTTGCATGGCTTTTGCACAATCCTGCACTGCCAATTGGGAAGATGTAAACAAGTCTGCTCCGAAGGTGGTGTGCTCTGAACAACTGCTTATTGAATGAGCTGGAGCACAGCAGTTTTGGACCAGATTTCTACTGTGCCTTCTCTGCTCAGGAGGAGTGAGTGCACAAGTGCGTACCAATATGTGCAAAGATCTTCCAGATGTGACAGTTCTAACACAAGGTAGTCCCATCATAGGCTTTAATCAGAGGTTTTAAAGTTAAGTGTTGGAAACCTCTGAAAATAGGACATCGGGCTGTTCTTCAGGGGTGGCTTAGAACCATAGAATGGTTTGGGTTGGAAGGGACCTTAAAGATCATCAAGTTCCAATCCCCCTGCCATGGGCAGGGACACCTCCCACCAGACCAGGTTGCTCCAAGCCCCATCCAGCCTGGCCTTGAACCCCTCCAGGGATGGGGCAGCCACAGCTTCTCTGGGCAACCTGTTCCAGTGTCTCACCACCCTCACAGGAAATAATTTCTTTTTAGTATTTAATCTAAATCTCCCCTCTTTCAGTTTAAAACCATTACCCCTTATCCAATTGTTCCACTCCCTGATAGAATCCCTCCCTATCTTTCCTGTAGGCCCCCTTTAGGGACTGTAAGGCCATTATAAGGTCTTCCCAGAAGACCTCTATATGCACAGACAAGATGTATCCCAAGGGTATGAGATGGGGATTTGTCTGCTTAAAGTTAGGCTTTTGGTGCCGTTTGAGAAGCCCCAATACATTTAATGCACCTACACAAAGCTGGCAAATACAGTACGATTGTGCCTTTCTGGAGCAGTAGGTAGAGGCTAGACATGTAATATGTAATACTACACTAGGTGTCCCAGTATAAGTAACTGGATCTTACACTTGGGCTATTTAAATGATTTAAAATAAAACGGATTGTAGGGAGTGTTGCTTACCATGTATAAATTCCTTCCCGAAGACCCCAGACAAGTGACACTGCGCTCAGTAGAAGGGTTTTCAGAGATTGAACAGAAGTTGAATCCGCTGAAGGTCCCATTATCCCAGTTGTGCATACAGCATGGCCTCTGAAGTGAGCAGCGAATTTCTGCAAGAGAAGGCAGAAGAATTTGGCCTTTTGCACTCTTCTGAGCATGTAAAATAATGATAACCAAAAAAATCACCAACTGGAATGACTGATCTTCTGGAAAGCTAACACTAGTTTCAGAAACTTGACGAAAAGACTTTACTATGGTGTAGCAGTTTGGAAGCCAATTGTTAGGATCTGACAGAGCAGCTATCTGTGATGGAAAGGAAAGCCTGAGATTACCTTCATTTGTCTTCAGAGGGAAATCTGTTCACGTATATAACCTAGACTTTTATACAAATTTGCCTTCATTCTTAAAATCTTCGTTATTTTTTCCTTTTTGTCTTCTTGCAGCTTTCAAGGCAAGCATTTAGTTTGCTGGGCTATGTTGCTTTCCTGAGTTCTGGAGCTGTGCACGTCTCTCTGCACAGCTTCGGTGTGGTACCTGGCAAATCCTGCCAGCTCAGCTCAGCCCCAGCCTTTGAAGTGATTTTTATTTCCACGAACTGTGCCAAAAAAGGTTATACTTTTCCAGCTCAGTTCTGGCTTTTGTTGCAGCTGGAAAGCTGGATCTGCTTTCAAAGGACTCTTAGGCTTGCCCTGAGAAGTACCAAGTTTGCTGTGTGTTTTAGCATAAAGCCCTATCTGCAGTACACTTCATTAATTATTGCCTGGAAAACAGAACAACTGGTTGCACGCCTGTGGCAAATGATTGGGGCCTGTGGCAAATGATTGGGAGTGCAAGACAGTGGCTCAACACAGAAATGTGCGTAATGCAGAGAGAGTATTGAAGTCCTGAATGTATGTTAATGCTGTGCTTGATTTGATTTGGAAAGTA